GCCAAGATTCACCCTAAGCAGCAACCCAAATAACTGACTCCACATCAGGGTCCCAGGGAAGAAAAGAAGTTTTAACCTGAATCAGCCCCTCATCTGCTCTACTACAGAGCTGCATGAACTCAGACACTAGGACAGGGAAAGCCAGATCTCTTGCGGGATTACACCACAGCCAGCAACCTTCCAGGTGCACCCAAGCCTCATCAGGCACTTTCAAGTCATGGCAGCTCCTCTTAAACGAGAAAACTGGGTTAGAACCAGCCTCTAGGTGAGAATTCAGGGCCTGAGGAAAGGCTCCCTGCCAAGAATAGGCCAGAGCCTTTCCAACTGACAGCATGCAGCAAAGCCACCCCAATACTCTGCCAATTCCCTTGGCATAAGTCCTTCTAACAGTTAATCGCATCCCAGCTCAGGAATCTGTCAGGGGAAAGAGTTTTTAACTCTCACAGCACTCCAGACAACTACAACTGAGGAAGTCCAGAAGATCCAGACTAATTCTTCCCCTTTGCCAACAAGCCCCAAGACATGCTGCTTCCCAGGCATCTCACCCCTACGAAAGGACTGGCACCCCTCAGCTGCCCAGCAGCACCTCCACAGTGGATCTGAGCAGCAGCAGCCCCCACCTGCATCATGCGAAGCCAGGGCCCGCAGCATCTTGCCGGCACCGTGGCGGATCTGCTTCTCCCTGTGGCACAGCATCTTCATCAGCACGTCCAGGGCTCCCGTCTCCCTGAAGGCACCCACCAGAGAGCCGATGCTGGCGTAGGCGCTCAGCACGTGCACAGTGCTCAGGATGGAGCACTCGGGCGTCCCGGCCTCGGCCACCTGCCGCTCGGCTCGCTGCACCAGGCTCCTGACATCGGCCTTCATCTCCAGCAGCGAGGCTTCGTCCAGCGGGACATCTGCAGCCAATGGGCTGGGCGCCTTCTCCTCTTTCACCCACCGCCCTTCCAGCTTCCTCTTGCCCAGGAGAGCTGGGCAGCTGGCACAGACCTCTTCTGCAGACATCCACATTGAGATGTTCTCTGGCTTGGTCTCTGCAGAGGAGGCACTGCTGCCTCCCACTGCTCTCTCTTCTAACCTAATCACACTCCATTGGATCAGGTATTCGGGCTGGCCATCGCGGCCTCGCCGCTGCTGGAGCAGCTTCTCCGGGTAGGCCTGCAGTTTGGGTCCCAGCTGCACAAGCAGGTTGCCACTGTGCTTCTCATTCACCATGGCAGCAGATGTGCCTGCAGAGACAGAGGGGAAGCAGAATCAAGCTTTTATTTTTGAGCTGCATCTAGGGAAAATGTGAGAGAGCACCTCAGTTGCCTGACAGTAGAACTGGCTGAGGCACAGCTTTTGATCCTGACACCCTACACCCAGGATAAAGCTGTGAAGGAAAACCCATTTTGCAAAGGCTCACATTTGCCTTTCAAGAAAATAAGACCATCTTTCATATAAAAAGCTGGTCCCAGCATTACTGGCACACACAGACAGAGGTTCTCCTCAAAAAAAAAAACCAAACAAGGCAAAATGGTCCCTCTTATAAGAAGAATTCACACCTACCTTCAATTGTGTCTTCCTTGGAATTTGCAGCAAGCCAGATGGGAATCTTCTTGCAGTCTCTGTAATAACAAGACTAAGTTATTGTAATGTGGTTTGTAAGTGTTTAGATGGCATACGATAAACCAAACAATTGTTATCCTTAAATGAGCTTGGATGGTGCACACACAGAGAAAAAGCCCCATGCTACAAAGTTCACATAAGATGAAAATCAGAGTAAAACAGAAGTCTCTGAAGTTTGGTAACTTCACCCCATTCCCACATCATGCCATTTAGCACGAAAAAACCTCTTTCAAGCAGAGCCCAGAAGAAGGGGGCCAAACGGACTTGTAGCTAGGTAGGGGAGAATTCGGGCTTAGGGCACCTGAAGCATTGCTGCACCACGTGCGATGAATGAACGTGCGCCAGAGGCCACGACAACCCACACACAGCCCAACTGGCAGACCGCTGTGACAAAGGTGCTGCACTCCGTGCCAGAGCTGTGATACCGAGTCCACCGGGCATCACGGCATGGCGTTCAGCAGCTCAGCCCGGCCCGGTCCGGTCCGGTCCGGTCCGGTCCGGCCCGGCCTCGGCCCCTCCGGACACCCCAGCGAGCCGCGCCCCACAGCCTCGCTCACCCATGCACCGCCGCCGCTGGAGCCGCAGCGAGGCCGGGAAGGGCAGGGCACAGCCCGGTCCCGGTGCGCGGGGAGTCGGCCGACCCCCGGCGCAGGGAAAAGGAAGGAGCCCCGTCGGGAGGTGTCTGCCCCACCCGTTCCCGCACCGGCACTCGGAGCCTCCGCTGCCGCAGCGGCCCCGGCGCCACCGGGAGGGAGCGGAAGCAGCAGCACCACCTGCCGCGCTTCCGGGTCCGCACTACGGGAGGCGGCGAGGGACAGGGAGCGGCGGGGGCAGCGTGTTCCGCGCTCGGAATCACGGAAGGGGTCGGGCTGGAAGGGACCACAGCGGGTCATCTGGTCCAACCTCCCTGCTCAGGCAGGGTCATCCCACAGCACAGGGCTCAGGGTTGTGACCAGACAGTTATTGGATATATCCAATGAGGGAGATTCCACAGCCCCTCTGGAAAGTCTGTTCCCGTGCCCGGTCACTGCACACTAAGGAAGTTTTTCCTCATGTTCAGGTGGAACTTCCCGTGCATCAGTTTCTCCCTGTTGCCTCCCGTCCTATTGCTCGGCACCACCGAGCAGAGCCCGGCTCCATCCTTTGGGTACCCTCCCTTCGGATACTGATAGGCATTGATGAGGTCCCCTCTCAGTCGTCTCTTCTCAAGGTTGAACAGGCCCAGCTCCCTCAGCCTGTCCCTGTAAGGGAGATGCTCCAGTCCCCTAATCCTCTTTGTTGCCCTGTGCTGGACCCACTCCAGGAGCTCTGTGTCTCTTGTCCTGAGGAGCCCAGAACTGGACACAGCTCTCCAGGTGATCCTCACCAGGGCTGAGGAGCGGGATCACCTCCCTCGATCTGCTGGCAATGCTTTTCCTAATGCACCTCAGGATACTACTGCCCTTCCTGGCCACAAGAGCATTGCTGGCTCCCCTTCCCTCGTCCCTCTGGGGTGAGGGGATGCAAGCTGCAGCTGGAGCTGGAGTGCAGGGGCCTGTCTGCGGCCACACACTACAGCCAGGGGTAACAGGGCTGCCGTCCCTCCCTGCCAGTGTTGAGAGGCAGAAAAACACAGAAGATCAGAGTATCTTCTGATTCTCCTGGCTGATATTAGAAATGAAAAGAAATGGAGGTGGGAGCTGAAGATTGCACTTGGTAGAGCTCAAGAGGCTTTCTGATAATGTGTTGCACCGTGTGTTGGTACAATTTCCCTAGTTATTAATCATCTTCATCAAGGGCTGTAGCAGGATGGGTGGAAGGTAGGCTAAAAGCATGTGATGTCAGCACTAACATTATTACTGCAAATAATAATGTAATAATAACTATTAATCAAAAATTACATCAACATCAGGCCCATGGCCCTGGGGCGGTGCCAGCCCTGTACCCACCGTCCCTCCATCCACCATTTGGCTTCAGTGACAGCTGCACTGGCTCTTGGCGGGTTTGGGGCTCTGAGACTGTGCTTTTCTCAGTGTTCCTAGAGAGACAATCGAAGCCTGTTGCACACAAGTTTGTCCTGTTTCCAGTTCCTTTTGACCTTTGGTGTTACACTGATGTGAAATGCCCATACTGTAAAATCTAAATTCTTATCCTTTATCCATGTTTCCCTTTCTTGGCAGGCCTCACAGCCGTCATCAGAAACCTGGATTGTGGCTAACATTTGTTTTAAAATATAAACAGACATTAAAATCAGCAAAATGGATGAGACTCTACTTTCTTATTTGATGCTGGAGCAACTTCATGCATGTGCCCAAGTTAATTTCTACCCTCAGTACTAATGTAACTGATCAGATAATTTCCATGTTTTACAATAGCAATCAGCAATTAATCCAAACAATATAATTGCAATTAACTGTAGGCTGCATAAAACAGTGCAGTGCTGCATCAGTGCTGCATTTGTGGAGATCATCCTCTAAAGCAATGGTGGGCTGTAAATGTTCATGTTTCCAAGCCAGGCTCTTGATTTCCACCATTAGTGCATGTAATCTCTGCTGATGCTGTTGATGCTCTCTTTCCAGAATCCCATGGATGCTCTTGAAATCTCCGCGTTCTCACTTAACATGTCATTTTCCTTCCCTGTTCGCTACCAAGACATCTTGTTTGTGCCACTGAGAGGTTTTCTGTGGTGTTCATGTGGCCTGCTTATGTCTTGGCTCCAATGGTCTTGATTCTATGCTTAGTAGGTCATTTATCCTAAAAATAAAGATTACATCTGTGGTGTCTTGCTCCATATGTCACAGACGGCCCGCTGTGCACAAGTGACATGGGATTGCTTGTGCTGATAGGAGGTTTGTGTGCTGAACCACGAGACACACCTGTTGTAGGCATGTTGCACATGGGGCTGGCTGTGGTGTAATCTGTAAAAGTGAAGCACATCACCTCCTCATGAGGAAAGAGCCATTTCAGCTGTGTTTTCCTCCTAAGGCTTTCTTGTGCAATCTTCTCTCCTGCTGCACTGACATATTTTCTCCAAATGGCACTCTGAGGAATGGTGCTGTGCCTCCACTGCACAGACTTTTATCAGTTCTAAGCTTTCCTCGCACTATCCTGGTATCCACTCCAGGATCTGAAGCTACATAGCAGCATTTTTAGCTGGCAGCCTGTTGCCCAAGCAGCCCTGAGGACTGTAATGAGCCCCTTTCCTTTTGGTTTCATTCACAGCTTTACACACTTTACTGAGCCCCCATGTGACCTTGACCTGGCTTCTAGGTATTTGCCTTTGACCTGACCTCCTGTCTCTCCAGTTTGGATTTTGAATATTGCCGTAATTTCTCATAGCAGTTTTCTGCAGGGAGTTTAACAGTCCCCCTGCTCCTCCCTATTAACCCCCATGATTTAGAACAATTCTTTTTCGAAATTCCCCATTCCTTCTCATTCCTGGTTTTTACTTCTCTTGACTGACACCATGCCCTGCTCCCCAGCAACACTGTTCCAGAGCTTTCAGAAAGGACAGCCCTCACAGCCCTGCTGTAAGCCATGGGCCCCCTCTGGTCCTGCACTAGGTTTGGGACTCCCAGAGTAGAAGTCCAGGTGGTCAGGTCTCACCTGTGCAGGAGGCAGTAGGGATGGAGACTTTTGTAAAGAGACCCTCTTTGCCACATCACGCTCAGATAGACCCCCATCCTTGACAGTAAACAAACAGATGCAGGAATCTGCCTTTGATCCCCATACGTTGCCCCTAAGGTACGTGTCATCCCCTCCCGCAAAGCACGGTCGAGATTCCAAATCTGTGCACAAAATGATAACATTTATTGAAAGAGTAATTTTTTTTTAATACAAAAGAAAGCTCTGTACATAGTACTGTGATTACTTCCACATCCTTCCAGAAACACAACCCTGGAAACTGGAGGGGAAAAAAAAAATAATCCCAAACACACTTATGCGTACACACACACACACACGCACACACACACGCGCGCACACACACCCCTCAAACCAGTAAAATTAACTAAAAATGTCACCACACAATAAATGCCATTTCATCCCTGATACACAAGTGTTCTTACAAGTCTGCACTTAAATAAAATACACCATTAGCGTTTAACCAGCAGTTGCCTTTGGGGAGCCAGGGAGGGGATGCAGTCAGACACCCTGTAGCAGCAGGG